CCTGGGGCTCTGTGTGAGAGGGTTCCCAGAGCCTGTATTCGGATGAGTTTGGATGAAGTCCACAGCAGGAATTCAGTTTGTGCCCAGCTGAAGAAAGGTCATGGTTCCTCTCCATCTACCAGATGCCTCTGTGGTCCTGTGGGCCAGGAAATCCTGCTGCCTTGTCAGGATTAGCTCTGTCAAACACGCCCCCGAAATGTGCCAGCGTGTTTCCCACCCCGGTCCCACGCTCCGACACCGCAGGGCTTGTCTGGCCCTCCTGCAGCGCTGGACAGTGTGTTCCCCAGGGCTGGAGCTTCTGCCCCAGAGGTGCAGACATGAGCAGAGGTTACCAGCTGTGCCACTGTCCCGAGGTCTGTCCTGCCCTGGCCGTGTGGCCTTGCCCTTCTCATGGGGCTGCAGAGCCTGTCCCTGGGCCGGGCCCTGTGGGTGACCCCCGTTGTTCCTTGCACTTCGCTGTAGCAGTCAATCAAACCATAGGCATTTGCTGCTATTACAAATGAATGCTTCTTGCCAGGGCTGTAAAATAGGCTAATAAAGGACACTGGATATTATTTTCTTTGCCAACAGATTTGTAAATACCAATCAGTAAAGTAGCCTCTTCTCTGTTCTAATAGTAATAAATAAAATCTCCATGGTTGTTCTTTTTGTGCACTGGATTTTTTTGTGAATTTCTGAAGCATGATTACATCTGCCTGGAGCTGCATATTTCAGCCTGGATGTCAGTGTCCATGAATAAGATTTTGGAATCAGCATGAAGCAAGCACTTGGAAACCATGCTGTGGGCTGGTTCTGTTGTTCTTAACTCTCAGACAGCTACTAAGGGACACTCAATGAAGCTTGGAAGAGACTGGGTTTAAACAGACGAAAGAAAATACTGCTTTACATAGGATCTTCAGGAGCCTTACAGGGTCATAAAGGTATGAGAGAAGTTTTGGGGCAGTTAGAGCTAAGATGTTCTGTTCATGTCCCTCCTCCAGCAGCTGGGAGTGCTGCAGGTGGGCTGTGGGACGTGACCACACAGGCATCCTCCCCTGCATGGTCTCTGCTGCTGGAGATGGGGTTAGTTGGACTCTTGGGCTGACCTGATGGGGACATTTTTATGTCTGGACTGGAGGATTCTCTCGTTCCTCCATCCGTGCTCCAAGGAGCCGCGGGGAGCAGTCTCTTGGTGCTCCAGACTGGTGCTGGTTCCCACTGCAGTGGGGCTGCGGCACAGGCCTGGCTGTGCTGCTGCAGCCACATGGGGATGAGTTCCTGCCCTGGATCCAGCTGGTGCTCTGGAGGTGGTCACTGTCCTGTCAGCACTGGGAAAAGCGGGTGCACTTCAGGCAAAGCTGCTCTGTCACAGCAGTAAAGATCACCTGTGCTGGCCAAATCACTGGGTCTTCCCAAGGTCTGGCTGGCAGAGGGTGGTGGGCAGCCTGTAGGACAAGTGAGAGCAGAAGGAAGACCAGGAGCATCACAACCTCACACAGCCCTTCCCTATGTACATCTGCTGCCCAATTTCTGAGTGTTCCCCAAAGCTTTGCTTTGAAATGAACTGATTTTGGCCAAATCAGAAAAGCCCACAAACCAAGTGCTTCAGCTCATGCTCTGAGACTCAGGCTTACTCGTGCAGTCCCCTTGGCCTGATAGCTGGATCACTTAAAAAAGCGATGGCCAGAGCAGCAGCTGGGCTTGGAACATGCCTGTGATTTGTTCCGGGCTTCCACCAGCAGTGCAGTTGGACCCTGTGCCAGAGGGTGGCTGGGACACAGCTCACTTGTCTGGCTGTGAGAGGAGGCAACTGCGGCTTGTCCGTGACCTGCTGCCAGTGCTGAAAGGGTGATGTGTCCCAAAGGGGCACCACGCCTGCAGCACTGGCTTTCTGTGGCCAGGTTTTGGTAGCATGGGGGGCTACAGGGGTGGCTTCTGTTAGAAGCTGCCAGAAACTTCCCCCATGTCACCAATGCCAGCTGGCTCCAGGACAGACCCACCGCTGGCCAAGGCCAAGCCCATCAGGAATGACAGTAATGCCTCTGGGTAACTTCTTAAAAGAGAAAGAAGGTTACTGTGCAGAGGAAAAACTGCAACAGGAGAACAACAGAGTGAGAATGTGAACAACTCTGCAGACGCTGAGGTCATTGCAGAAGGAGGGGCAGGAGGTGCTCCAGGCACCGGAGCTGAGGTTCCCCTGCAGCCTGTGCTGCTGCCCACGGTGAGGCAGCTGTGCCCCTGCAGCCCTAGAGGAGCATCGGGGTGCAGAGACCCCCCTGCAGCCCTGGAGGAGCGCACACTGGAGCAGGTGGATGCCCAAAGGAGGCTGTGACCCCATGGGAGGCCCGTGCTGGAGCAGGGTCCTGGCAGGGGCCAGGCAGTGACAGGAGGGGCCTTGTCCCGCCGCTGCCCCAGCGCTGGTTCGATGGTGCGTGGGTGCAGCAGCACAAGCAGCTCGTGGAGGCAGCACCGAGCGGGGGCTGTGCCGGGCAGGGCTCTGGCTCTGGCACACCCGGGGACTGTCTGCAGGACACTCGCCAGCAGGAAGATGGGGAAAGCTGATTTAGCTGCTCAGCGTTGCTGCTTTTAGAGCTCCTGTTTTCCCACAGCATTTGTCAGCCATGGTTAATGGGGGAGAGAACTGGGTGTGGATGCAACTGGGGAAACGGGCTCAGGCAGGATGAGGGGATGGGGAAAAGCATGGGCGTTCAGAGTGAGGTGGACCACAGAGGGGCCCTGCCAGCATTGACTGCTTACAGGTGGCCATGCAGAAAAGCTTTTGGGACACATGGAGTCACTTTTCATTTCTTCTGTGCCTTCCAAAGGAGGGGACTGAGGACTCTGCCCAGGCCACGAAGGTTTGAACCTGCATATCCTGCCCAGGCCTCTGCCTGGACCTTCTGCTGTGTCACCGAGTAAGTGATCCCTTGTTGTCTGAAGTGTTTAGTGTTTACTCCCATAAAGGGAGCTTGTGTCTGAGGGCTGGAGGACTGCATGACCTCAGCTGTAGGGGATAGGGGCTGGCAGGAATTGGGCCCCAAGGCCACGAAGGTGTTCAGAAGCTCAACACTGGTCTGCAAAGCTATGACTTCTCCCAAAGGAGAACTAGTGGGTTATGTCATCTCATCTCCACTTGCAGCCCCATTTCCTCCATCCTTTCTGTGCCATGTCTGGGCCTTTGTTCAGATCACAGGGAAGCGGGGAGACTGGGTAGGTGGTGAGGAAAGTGGAGGGCATGGAGTGGAGGGGGAGCAGGACCCTCTCCTTTGAGGGCAGTGAGCTACTGGATTGCCTCAGCTGTGAGGTTCAGCTTCCCTGAAATGACCTTCCTGCTGGGGAAGACAAGGACACTGCAATTGCAAATGGGAAACACTGTGCTGGGTGTCCCCCAGTGGGTACTATCTCCCCGCTCTCAGGGCAGTTTAGCCAGACTCTAAAGCCCCAGGAACCACAGGAAGGCCTGTAGAGCAGGATCTCCATCATCTGCAAGTAGACAGCCCCATAAAGGATGGGGATGTGAAGGCTCTACAGCCTGCCCCCTTCTCCCAGCTGAATCAGCAGGGATGTGTGGGTGCACTGATGTAGAAGGCCCTGCCTGTTTGTGTGTCTCTCCCAGCCACTCCATGGATGGGGCTGTGCCTGCTCTGGCCAAGGGCACAGACTGAGAGTGGACACTCTTCCCTGGAAACCTGCAGCTGGTTCCCAGCCTCTGGTCTGGGGTGCTCTGGTCGGCAGAGAAGGGGGTGAGAAACTGTCTCAAGGTAGAAAGTAGCCAGATGCGGAGTGCTGCTGTGATGTTGGCATGCTGGCAAGGTGAGTCACTCACCTCCCACCCTGGGAGCAGCCTGGAGGTCAGGCAGATCTGTGGGACCCCCAGCAGCCTCCGACAAGAACAGGTACAAGCAGGATGAAGCACGATGGGGAGCGCTGGACGCAGAAAACTCATGCCTGGCCTGCTGCACGTCGGTGTGGAGGGCAGGGACTCTGCCCAGATGAATGTGTAACCCCCGTGCGGTGCCGGCCCGCATCTCCTCCCCCAGGGCTGTTCCCAGCAGAGCAGGCGCTGCACAGGCTGCAGTGACCCCGCGTGGGCTGCGCGGAGGCAGCCGAGGGCTCCCGCCTCTGGCAGAGGCCCTTGGGCAGGGAAGACAACCCCTGCGGGCACAGAGCCCCCTCCTGTCCCCTGCCACGAGGGCCCAGGGTGGCCGGGCAGGGAGGAGCGGGGGGTCTCGGGCAGAAATTGCTCCCCCGGGTGCTCGCCGGGGCTGCTCCTCGGGGCACTGCCCCTCACGGGAGTGACTGTCTGTGCTGGGCCGTGGGCCAGGGCAGCACGGGCAGTGCCAGCAGAGCTGCTGAGCTCGGGGCCAGCTCTCCCACAGCACTGCTGCACTGAGGCCCTTGAAGGGAGGGAGCTGTAGGACACCCCAGTGGGAACTTCCTCTCTCTTCCTCAGGAATGTCACCTGATCACAGAGCCTGCCCTTGGGTCTCTGCCTGAGCTGGGTCAGCTGTTTCTGTGATGATGGGGACCCTGATCCCAGCCTGTGCACTGACCTCCTCCCCTGACCTGCCTCATCCCTGTGGGATTTTCCAGTGCTCATCTGATCACTGTCACCGTCCCTGCTCTGCTCCCATTTACCGCTGGTCTGGCCTGTGCTGGTCAGGGCAGTGCCCTGCCTGTCCCACTGCCAGCTCAGCTCCCACTGCCAGCTGTCCTGGCACAGCTCCCGCTGACAGCAAATCCTGTGGGGTGCACAACACTGCCCGTGCTGAGCATAAATGAAAACTTTACAGATGAGGCCTGAACAGATTCCCAGAGAAGGCAGAGAAGGCCCCAACCCATTCCTCAACTTGCCTGACAGCAGAGCTTGCCAAGCAAGCCAAAAATGCTGGCTACTCCTTGCCTCCCTACCTCTGATTTCCTGTGAAGTTGTGTCTCAGTGAGACTGAGGCTGCAGAAGGGGATGGGACAGGTTTCAACACGGAAAACCCCCATACACAGTTTGGCCTGGCTCGAAGGAAGCACAAGCAAGCCCTTGGCAGCAAACTCTTTATTGACAAAACAAGGGTGTGGGTCTGTGTTTGCTGTCCGGGGGCTCTTCACCTCTCCTGCCACACACCTTGCTCTCCTCAGATGGGCTGTGGGTGCACAGCTCTGTGCCGTGCTCCGGCACGGGCAGGGGGCTTCGGCCCCGCCGGAGGGACGGGCTGGCGGGAAATCCGGGGGTTTGCCACAGGCCCTTTGCAATCCTGTTGGGTGGTCAGTGCAGCCTCAGGCTCGTTCATCCGCTCTAACACCGAGTCAACAATCCGATCTGCCATGGACCTTATATCCAAAGAGTCAGCTAAGGCAGTTGACTCCAGATTCATTTTTTTCTCCAAGTTCTCCTCCACTGTTGCAAGACCCTCAGGCTCCATGGTTTTGGCACGGCCAGTCCCTTTTACACGCTGCTGTGGTTCTAAGGCAGGCAACTTCACTCCTGTGCTTGCTTCCAGGTTCTGCTGTTCAGATGCTCCAGGGAATCCTGGCTGCAGCTCTCTGTTGGAGTCGTTTCCCCCAGGAAGCTCCAGAATTTCAGTGTGCTCACAAGTAGAGTCTTGTTCAAACTGAGAAGCTACAAAGGTTTGCAAGGTGCAGTGAACACTTTCAACAACTTCTCTGGTGAGTTTGTCAAGGGAAGACTGTGCAGATGCTATGTCCAAAGTGGCTATTTCATTTTCCTTGGATTCGCCTGCTTGGGTGGCTCCTCCATCAACAGGCTGCTCCTTCTGCCTGGCTGCTGCCCCTGGCTCAGGAGCTTTGGACGTGCTGGATGCCAGACGCTCCCCCAAGATCTCCAGCACAGTTGCTACAAGCTCTTTGGCCACCGCTTCCATTTCCTCACGGTGATCTACAGAAGAATCCGAAAGCTCTACTCTCATGCAGCTGCCAAAAAATCTTCCTCTGATCGCCTGCGCAATCCTCCTTAGACAGCTGACACGCTTATCCCCGGTAACCTTCAACCTCTCCAACACTTTTTGCACCACAGTCTCAGCCAGCTCTTCAAGCTTCTGGGCTTCTGTTGATTGCTCAAACAGGCCGCTGGCAGCAGTGTCTGGCTTCCTCTGGGATTGAGCACGAGTGCTCTTCTTGGCACCTTCCTGGCCCAGCCCAGCTCTGGAGTAGATTTGGCCTGATTTGAGGGGAGTCTTCCTGTTCTTGGGCTGAGGTGGGCAAGACGGTTTTTGAGCCTTCAGCCTCTGCTCCGCCTGGCGGGAAGTGTTGGTGGTTCCGGGCCGTTTGGGGCCATGTTTTGATTTGGCCGGGGGTGGCTGAGTCCTTCCCTGAAAGGTGACACCAGGTTGTGGCTGCTGTTGCCTGGACAAGTGCTGAGGCTTCTCACAGGTCCAGGACAGCACTCTGCTTCAGCCAGGCAACGAGGGCAGGAGAGAAGGGCTTCCCTCAGGACTCCATGTGCTTACACATGGCCCTCGTGCCCGTGCCCACCCCAGCATCCCACGCTGCCTCAGCCCCGAGCCGCGCAGTCCTTTCCTCGCCACAAGGCCCGGCCCTCAGCACAGCCCTCACCTCTCGTGCACTAAGCACCTCCCCTGCAAGGAAAGCCCCAGCCTCAGCACCACCCTGTGCCCATGAACACACTGCTTTGCCCACCTCTTTCCGCATCAACATCTGCTCTGAAAACAGCTTATGCCTGGTCAGATAGTCCCTGTACTGATTGAACTCCTTCACAGTGCAAACCACCTA